CACCCCCACACCCACACCCACACCCACACCCACCCCCACACCCACACCCACACCCACACCCACACCCACACCCACACCCACACCCACACCCACACCCACACCCACACCCACACCCACACCCTCTCAGCGAGAGATAATAAAAGCTTATTCAGACCCCCTCTTTTCCAAGCCTAAAATTTGTTTTTCTAATTTGTTTTTAATACTAAGGTGTATCAAGGTCCCCTTTAGGTGTGCTATGAAAACTAGAACCATCCAAGGTCGGGAAGTCTCTGAAAAACCAGGTTGTTTGGAGGCATGCGACAAAAAAATTTTTTTTTTTTAATGTAGTTATATCATGATGTACGAAGTATATCTATACTATAAACGAAAAAAAAATTTTTCTACAAGTTTTTTTTCATTTTGCATTTTTCTCGAAACTAGTTTTATGGGTATCAAAAACCAGTTTTTCCCCTTTTTCTCCGCCATTTCAAGTTCGATCGAGGTGAAAATTTTTTTGTTGAGACTTCAAGTGATTTGGGTTGGGCATTTTTTTTGGATACCTTCTACCAATCAAGTTTGGAAGGCTTCGCAAAATTTTTAGGATCCAAAAAACCTGGAGATTTTGCGAAGTGCTCAGTATTTTGGTTTTACAGCCTGAAATATTTGGAATTTTCGAAAAAAAAACGGCCACCCCGATTCGGTCCGTCTACCCACAGTAAAAAATTCAGCTCAAACGGGTGAAATCTGCGGATTTGCGGGAGAGAAAACTTTTTGCAAGTTTTTGACCTTGGGGTCTCTGAAAGTCTATAAAGATGACGTCTGGCAAATTTGTGTCTATGACAACTTTTGCTCTACTACTCGAGATCTATCTACCCTACAAGTTTCAGGAATTTTCGTTCGGCCGTTTCTTAGAAACGCCGGAAAGGGGGGGGGGTCCCCTTATTGAAGTTCAAGTACTTTGCAATGACGTACAGTGTATAGCACTGATACAAAGTCGTAAATCTATCTGTAGCGAATAGCTTTGAGTGATTTTTTAAGTTGTCGTTTGTACATCTGCGACGGTAAAACAAATATCACAAATGTCATAATTGATGGAACAAATGAAACGAAGTAACCAATGAGATAGAACCTTGAGTCCCGAGCTGATTTCATACAACCCGACAAAAATGATATTATTAACCGAGGTAATGCTAATAGAACAATAATAAATGGTGAAATCAGTAAGTGTTTGTGATGCTGAAGTTGTTTTTGTAGATGTTCTTTAAACGAGTTTGTTTTCTGAGAGTTCGCACGAGTACGGGCTACTAAGATAATGATCATTAACGCAGAAATACAATTGATCGTGAACGGAACAAAAAAATGAAAGATATTCAAAATCCAGTCAAAGATTTGTATAGGTGATGAATATTGACTCACACACCATGAACGTTGTTCTTCATCATCATCTATTATGTGACGATGAAGTGGATCATATATATACATACAGGTAGTGAAAAGAATGACAATCAGAATCATTCGCTTAGCCACTTGTTTACTTTTTGATTTGTCGAAATTGACTCCTTTTAAGACGCTCACTGCTCGCTCAACAGCAACGCATGCAGTAAACCATTCGCCAGTAGTGAGCAAAACTCTAAGGAAGAATTCCATAAATGTACACTGTATACGCAAAAATAAACGATTCCTGATGAAACCTATTTGTGTTATTAAGAGAAATGAGAACTTTAAAGAGAATACTACCATGACGATCATAGATATAAGTGACGATACAAGAAGATAGAGACCGCAACCAACAGTGCGTGATTCATTTGTTCGAAAGGCCAAAATGGAAAATAAACTGTTGATGACACCAATTACAAGCATAATTGTGCTAACCGCTATTGCAACCTTTATTAGAGTAGGTTGTTGACTGATTTCGACGTTCGAAAGTATATGATAGCCTAAAATAGTATCCAACGATAGAGCAAATCCTTTTGTAGAAAACTGACATATTGATCCGAAATAACATTGCTGGCAGGCACAAATTGATAACGTTGGACATTTTGGATTATCCAAAAAACAGTGACCCTCGTTTTGACAGTAATTGTCTCCTCCACAGTCATAGGTCATATTATGATCGAATGCAAAGCAATTGGCTTGCCGATCAAGAGTACACAAGCAAAAGTGAATCTCATCATAGAAACAGACCAATTCGGAGTGCCTTTTACATGAAATATGATAATATTTGATGCGAGTCAACAAATGTTGATTAGAAAATGTCTGATTGAAAAGTTCTTGAATAGATCGACATCGGTGCGAGGGAATAATTTCTGTAGCGATATTTGACGAAGTAATAGTTTGTTTGCGAAGAATAATTAGATAATATAGGTGGGATATTTGTGCAATAGCAATATTGAATGAAGTTGAAGTGTAAACTACTAGTGAATATTGGTCCAAGGCAATTTTTTTCATAATGCTTGTTCTGTTATGTTCGTTATTTTGGTGAACTGCAATGAGATGAATTAATAACATTGACGGAATACTCAGTCGGTAATTAAAAGATATATGGAGCCGACTTTGTTCCTCTCGATGCTCACAATGGCTCCCAACGTATCCTTGAAGACAAAGACAAGTTGATTTTCTAGTGTCGTAAACGGATGTGAATCTGACATCTGTAGAGACACATTGTCCACCATTCGTGCATGGTTCCGATTGGCACGAGAGTTGAAGCAAATGACATCGGGGACCGAAACGATTAGATGGACATAAACATATTTCATTGCTAATGCAAAACGCGTCTGTTGCACAATGGCATGTGTACTTCACAGTGCATTGAAGACCTGTCCAACCAGGTTCACAATGACAAAATGTTGATCTTGGCCTGTTGATGTAATGAAAACATTCACCGTGCATACATGGTGGCCAGCAATCATACACAGATTTCACAGGTGAAAAAGGGAGTTTAACCGTTACAGAAAGACGATGAACAGGCAGAAATGGAAACTGAAGTGGGAAAATCCAACTACCTTTGTATTTCATAGTCAATTGTTTAAAAGCATCGATTTGTACTAAATAGTTTTTGGATGAATTTTTTGGTCTAGTAGAATAAAGTAAATAAATATTAAATTTACTGCTACAGTCTCGAATAGGTAAGTATTCAATATGATCATGAGATTCAATGTTTCTTTCATCGTCAATAAGAGTGATTAGGAGAATAAATACACTGCGCCAGTCTGCTATTACGCGAATGCTAAGCGTGAGGCTAACACGTTGACTTTGATATTGACATTTATTTCCGTAGTAGCTTGGTGAGCAAAGACAAGCCAATTTAGATGCAGTATTGTCCATTCGAACACGAATGGGTACTCCTCGATTACACCACCATTTTTGAAACACTGAAACATCGATAAGTGGACTATTCTGAATTAAACTAGTTTTTATTCTAATTTGCGGTGTCATCGATGTTTTCTCAGTCGCTGGCGGCTGCATTGGATAGGTTGGCATATTATGTAATTTTAAAAATGTCTTCTCTCCTCGATTAATGTTACCTCCAAAATTACAGAGAAAATTTTCCACGTCTGTTTGGAAAATTTTTGAGAAAGTGCAATACGGATATTTTTCAAATCCAAAGTTTTTACAAAAGGTTTCGTCGTCATTAAACGGACAATTTTTCACCCTATTACAAAGTTGATCGACGTCGATGTATTTCGTATCATTCCAACAGCGAAAATAATATCTCATAAGGATCGGAGGTGGAGATTTTCTATACCCTCTTCGTTCATCTGTCCCACCAAGACAATCATTAATGCCATTATATGCACTAGTTATGGGTAAACATGAAATTTTCGATGTATCATTTGGGAAAATACACTCATGATGGAATTCAGGACAAGTCGATGATGGACAATTAATTTCATCAGCTCCATTTTTACATAACCAGAATTGATCACATCTAGAGTAAGTATTATTGCATGGCCAATGATGGCATTGCGTTTCATCTGTTTCATTTTGTCCATTAATCAATAGTGGCAATAGGTCTGTTTTCCCATCACATATCATTGGAAAATATATATGACTTTGTATTCTTCTTTTGTTCTGATCTGTTTCATCTTCGCCATTCTTGCAGTCTTTCTTTCCATCTTGGATGATTAATGACGAAAAACATTTTTCAATGCCATCAATTGAACATCTGAAACGTTGATGAATATCTGCAAGCGAACAACTTTTATTGTACTTTTCATCATCATCAAACGGACAGTCAACAATGCCATCAAGAAGACGCTGCTTTGCGATGCATTTTGATGAATTTTCGCACCGATACATTGTTGAATCATTACAACGGTACATGATATTAGTATCAGTTAGACATTTACGAAATATGTTTTTGACATTTTGAACGAATCTTTCCAAATCATAAGAATCTGTATCAGTCAATTCTAGTTCGCTGAAATGACGACAGGTCAAATTATTGAAAGATATAGTACTCGGAAGAAAGTCTGAACAGAGTTTTTCATCATAACAGACATAATATGGCGGATAAAATGTTCCAGACTTAAATTCCTTGTTCGAATAAAAGAATCGCACATGTCCATAACGTAAAGGAATAAAATAAACTTCATATGGTATCGGACAGTTCTTTTTTATGCAGGCAATCTTCGAACAAAACTTGAAACACCATTTCGCGTCAGCTATATCATAGAGTTTCATCAAACAGGCTGTAGCATTGGAGCAAAAGTCTCCTGATAAATAGCTCCGACGACCACTCTGACAGGCGCTGATTCCGTTTGTACATGATCCATCACCACATGGGAATTCTTCTTCTCCTGGTCGACACGCATGCTCTTCGCAAGGAAAAGCAAGAGTTCCGTCGCATATATGGGACAAATGCACTTGTTGACCTTCGTCTGTTCGATCTAAACAATCAGGACTGAATAAGCCTTCATGAACGAACTCAACTGGAATACACTGACCATTGTGACATCGATATTCATTTTCGGCGCATTCATTTATTTCAAGCTGCCAACAATCGTTCTCGTCAGCACCATCAAAACAATCTCTTTTACCATCACAAATCTCTCGCCAGTCTAAACATGAAAAGTTCGTCTGGCAAGTTAGATGTTTATAGCACGTAATCCTAGAGTTGGTTTCGCTGTCATGTATTAGAAAAAATATATCTTTGATGAGTTCAGAAAACGGCACATTTGAATCATAATCAAACGCGAAGCGACAAAACGGTCCAAACCATAACGATGTGCAGTTGTAGAACAAAATTTCCTTTGAAGATGATAGCGTTGAATTGTTGTCTAAAAACATTTGGTATTGTTCAGCTAAATCAATGGTAGCTGACCATAAAAGCAATTTGTGGCTGGTGATATTTTGCTCTTTCAGGTCAGTGAAGGTAAAGCTGGTATTATATATGTTTTTTAAAGAAAAACTTCTGACAGAAGGATATTTTTCTGATGGTCGAAGACAAAACGGCATCGTTTGATGGATTTTTAATAACTTTGAAGTCGATTCGAAAGGATAGGTTACATAATAAAAAAGACAATACCCATCTGGATAGCCGTTAATATTATACATGTTGAACTGATGATTTGGGACTGCCTGTATTTTCCGTGTGATAAGCATGCATAGTAGCAATATATTGAAACCGACATCAAGCATCTTCTAAAAAATGAAGGATTATTTTTATTTTTTGCTTCTCTTCCGCTAACGTTTGATCGTGTCTGTACACTACACTCGATTGACACCTATAACCAAACTATCATAATTCTAAATAATTTTTTTCTCTCTAATGTTTGCTCTGCATGATTTATGATATATACTGTATGCATGTCATTTTCCTTTTATTTTTAAATAAATATAAATTACCTGTTAGTTACATTGAAAATAAGTATGATTTCCTATGGGTGTGGGAGTGGGGTGTGGGCGTGGGTGTGGGTGTGGGTGTGGGTGTCGGTGTGGGTGGTTGTGGGTGTGGGTGTGTGTGGGTGTGGGTGTGGGTGTGGGTGTCGGTGTGGATATCGGGGTGTCGGTGTACCTTGTCTTCACTACACCCATACCCACACTCACACCCACACTCACACCCACATCCACATTACACACCCATACCCCACCACCACACCCCACACCCACACCCACACCCGCAAAGAGAAAACACATAAGAATAACTGTATATTTTAGCAAGTTTATTTTTTAAGAGATAATGTGTCAAGAAATACAGCCCAACTTGCTTGCTACACAGTGGATGACTTATTAACTATCATTTTTTACAAAAGGTCTGTTCTGATATATAAAAAGGAAAAGAATTGTTAGAAAAGAGGACTCAATTGATTTTCTTTAGTGCGATTCTGAAGCCACAAAATGGATTCCCAACAAAGTTATTGTTATAAAATTATAGAGCAGAAGTTGTGAGTATGCGACTCATTCTAGTAAGTATAAATTCATGTGATTCGAACCGGGAAAAATCGGCGGTATACTAGCGGTGAACCGCCGGTATTTACCGGTAGTAACAAAACAACTGGCTGTATATTAGTAGGATAAGGGTACGAATCTATTGATCCTCAGTCTTGCAGATCTAAGATTAATGTAAATTATCATAGACCGCAAATTAGTTTAGTGTATCTATTTCATAAAAAATCTTCTTCTTTTTTTATTTGGATATCGAAAAAAAAATTTTTTCTAGTGAAGTTGAACTGTTTTCGAGAAGAATTTAAATAATGGTTGCATTTCACTCAAAAGCAGCTTTCGATATATAAATAAAAAATAAGAGGGTTTTTAATAAATAGATTGACTAAACCGACTTGCACCCTATGATAATTTACATTTCTTCTTAGATTTGTAAGACTTGGAATCGTAGATTCTATTAGCAATTGTTGCTTCATCTTCGTTTCTTCGTTTTCTTAAGTCGATC